TTCCTCCAGGCCTTCCTTTTCTCTACCATCTTCTGGAGTCCATTTAAGGTCATGCCGTCTGCTTCAGTGACTCCATCCAGCCACCTCATTCTCTGTCATCCCCTTCTTCTTGCCCTCAATCATTCCCAGCATTAGGCTCCACTGAGTCCTTCCTTCTAATTAGATGGCCAAAATACTTGAGGTTCATTTTCAGGATCTGGTTTTCTAAAGAGCAGTCAGGGTTGATCTCCTCTAGGACTGACCGGTTGGATCACCTTGCAGTCCAAGGGGCTCGCAGGAGTCTTCTCCAGTACCAGAGTTCAAAGGTCTCAATTCTTTCTCAATTCTTTCTCAATTCTTTCTCAATTCTTAGCAAGCATTTAGCATTGTTTGCAATATTGGCTTAATCCATCTGTGAAGAGCAAAATTCCGCAGGAGAACCTCAATTTTCAGTCCTGAAGGTGCTTGACTCTGTTAGCCAGCTGAAATATGTTGTAGACAATCTTAATAAACATGCAGACTCCACAACAATCTATGTTTTGTTTTTTTCAGGGCTGGATTGACAACTTCAATGGTACGAGCGGCCTCCTTGTCGCAGTAAGTAGAGATGAAAATAGGACTTCAAAAAATCTTGGGAGCAGTGAAACAGGCCCAGAAGAAACCACGAAGAACCAAAGCATGAAGCTTATCTGGAGAGATCAGGGCAGAATCTAGTGATTCTGACAATGCATAGCCTAGGCCAGGGATGTCAAACTGGATTTCTTCGAGGGCCAGATGAGCACTGTAGTTCTCCTCCATGAGCCAGTGTGGGAGGGAGGAGCGTTGGGGAAGAAATGGAGTAGATGTGTCCTGCAACACTCTGCTGGCCAAAATGGGGCACGGGGCAGCCGCACACAGACTCCCTGTGCTGCCTTTTTGGCTGGGACAGCCTCCAGAAGCAATTTGTCAGCCAAAATAGGGCATCCTTGTTTTCGGCCTCCATGGCCTCCTGCAGCACCCTCCCAGACATTTTTGCCCAGCAGAGTGCTGCTGGAGGCTGGGGAGGTTCAAAACGGGGGCCTCATGACACTTCCATGTGGCCCGTTTTTGGCTGGCAGACTGCGTTGGAAGCCGGGGAGGCCGAAAACAGAACACACAAGGGCCTTGCAAGACTTCCCTGTAGCCCATTTCGGCCGGCAGATGCACTGCTGGCTGGTCCTTTGATATTTCCGTGGGCCAGATCTAGCCTTGAGTTTGACACCCCTGGCCTAGGCTGATCAAGGAGTAGGTTTACCAGGCCTGGTGTTTCTGAGCGAGTTCAAGAGCTTTTGGCTCTCCTGACTAATATGACAGTTAAAGCACCAGAATGATCACACTGCAACAATGGAAGGCCAGATTCCGGGGAGAGCAGAGATGGCTCCATTATCTCAGACTAACTAAGCCAGAGGTGGCTTCCTACCTATTTGATCCGGTTCGGCCGAATCGGTAGTAACTCTGGTGGACAAGTGATTGTGCCAGTTCTGTGATTGGCGACGTCATTTTGATTTTCTGTTCTGCACATGCGCAGAACAATCTTCATTGAAAAAAAATGTAATTTTTATTCATTTTTTAATGCGCGCATGCGCAGACCGTTTCAAATGAAAATGTGCATGAAGCGAGTGCACGAAGCAAGCACAATTTTTTTTAAAATACCGAACCAGCAGTAATGGCAGCTGGAACCGGCCCCTGAACTAAACTCTATGCTAAATAAGGAAGTCGAGTTACATAGGTTAATTAACTTCTTTATTTCTAGGGTGCAAAAGGGATTTTACGGAGTATAAAATGCAATCCAGCTGCCGTAGCTGATATTATCCCAGTAGACCTCGCTATCAACTTAACCATCTCCGCTGGCTGGTACACTGCAGTTCACAGGTGGGGTCTCTTTCTTGAGCAAGAGATAAGCCAATGAGGTAGAATGGGTTTTTCCCCCCCCCCAAGGTTGCAAGTTTTTCAGGAGCTGCCAAAGCTGCTGATTCCTCATATCCTCATCCACGTTTTTAAAGCTTTCTGAATGTCCAGCAGTGCCTCCTACAGGCAGTACTGCAGTACAGTAGAGCAATAGCACTTATATACCGCTTTACAGTGCTTTACAGCCCTCTCTAAGCTGTTTACAGAGTCAGAGAGAGAGAGAGGGAGAGAGAATGAGAATAAATGTAGTATTCATACATTTGGTGCATTTTGTGAACTTTTTATTTCTATTCTTTTCAGGCCCAAATCGCCACTGATCTACAACTGTACCTCAGGTTCCCTCAACCCGTTGTCATGGGATGAATTGCGTGAGTATTTTTTTTTTTTTTTTAAGAATCAAGGATTCAGAAAATTCCACTAAACTTTTTGGTTGGAAACCATCCTTGACAGCTTGCCTTGCCACTGAGATTTAAAGGGGCACCACTCTCATTGTGGATAAGAACGCACAGGGTGAGGTTCTTCACACGATTCGGTTAATGTAACCTGACAATGAAGTTACAACGTCCGTCTGTGCTTCTTGTGTGGAAATACTTTGCAAGGCTGACACTAACCCAATGATTTGTTTTATTGTTTTATTTGTGAATCTCTAAGGCCACCTTCTTGTTAATAGGAAAGCGGTGGCGCTAAACACTCTTTGTAACATCATAATAACAATGATAGCGATAACAATAAAAAAGACCAATGGCTGAGGGAGGAGACATTTCTTTCCTGACAAGGAGTTATTCCTCTTTCTTCAGCTATATTTACATCATGTGGCAGGAAACCACATCTGGTTTCTTTGATGGTCAAAGAGCACTTTGCCTTCTCAAATGGACATTTCCGATAATTGTCCCCTTTTCATGCAATTACCACAATGAGTGCAGTATCTCCTTTCTACCATTCTGCAGAAATTAAGGCAACAAATATGTATAAAAAATATCCAGTGGAGAAACCTTTCAGAATACCAAAGGCCAACGTAACCTCAAGCTACCTCCTCCATCATTACTGGACATTTGTCTATCACACCATCCCTGCTTTTCTCTGGGACCTGCATCTGCGGCTGCTAGGAAAGAAGCCACGGTGAGATTGCATCTACATTGTGAGGTGTAGGGCATCCTTCCAAAAAAGTCCAGGTAGCTGTTTTAGGGAAGCGCCCTTAAGAATACAGATGTTGCAGCCCGCCAGCTGCAAGCAGAGCTGGTGGCAGACTCAGATGATGAGGAGGTTGGGGAGGAACATGGGCCAGTCCTGGAGTCTGGGGAAGGATCTGATGAGGGCTCTTGTGTCGGAGGCACAGTTGGGGCCAGGGCAGTACAACATTCCCCAGCTGCCTTTAGAGTCGGAGATAAGTGGAGAAGAAGAAGAGAGCCAAGGTGGCGCAGTGGTTAAATGCAGCACTGCAGGCTACTGCTAGATCAGCAGGTCAGCGGTTCAAATCTCACCGGCTCAGGGTTGACTCAGCCTTCCATCCTTCCGAGGTGGGTAAAATGAGGACCCGGGTTATTGTATG